GTCTAAACGACCTCGGTGGTATCTCAAAGAAAGTTACATAAATCTTTTGACTTACTATTGAAAATACAGACATTTGATTATGTACTAATTTTATTTAGCGTTGTGACGGCGTCGATTTAGGTACGTCGCAGAATTGAGCGTCGCCTGGCATCGAGGCGCCTAGCGTCGTGGTGGAGAGAAAGGTATTTAATACGGTACTGCATAGAGACAGATATATGGTAGAAATATTTAGGTGGTGCGGGACGTGATGAAGGGTGTCGACAAGGTTATTATGAAAGAAATATATAGGGACGGTAAGCGCCGAGAAGTAGAGCGTTGACAGTGCTGGGCAATTCCTAGTTAAAAAGTAATTAATAATTACAATTACTTTTTTTCATGTAATTTGTAATTGTATTTAAGTACGTTTTCTCTCTCAAAGCAATTTGGAATTGTAATTGCAGCAAAATCTGTGGAGGAATTGTACTTTGTAATTATATTAATTTATATTATTTAAATTGTCTAAATACAATTACTTGTCATAAGTACAATTACTTTTTCCAATTACAATTACATTTATAAGCACAATTACATTTTATAATTACAATTACTTTTAAATGCGTGTTTATGAGATGCATGTAATATAAAAACAGAAAATGTCTTGTTCGAACCGGTCACAAATGCATTTGAGAAAAGCGTTGTGCCGTGAAGCAGTGAAATTATTCAACCCAAAATAATAACAGTAAGGGGCAAGTAGATGCAGATATCCTTATGTCTAAGACGCATTTTGTATTTATATTATTATAAACACAATTTATGTTGCATAAACATTATAAACTAATGAAATATAGTATGAAGTGGTGCAAATAGCAATTTTCATGGGGTAAATACTAAAAACTACTTATTTACGTTGCGTAGGTATTTCTAGTTATTATTCTAGTTTTTTATATTGAAATGTGGGTGTAGAAAAAATATATTTTTCTACACCTAGAGGGATATTAGCGTATCTGCGCATAGATTAAAAAAGGAAAAGTAAGTTATTGCGTTCAACTGTTGGAATATATTTCATATCTATTCTAAGTAGTGAGAATGAAATTTACCAATTACAGTTCATATTTTGGATACTAAACTATTATTATTTTTAAAATTTTAAATAAGTGCCAATTATTCTGTCAAACTAATTGTCAGTATATTTTTTAGTTATTGAGATTAAATATACACTAAATGAGTTATTTTTGTTTAGAATCGATAAATAACATTTTTATTTTTATTTGGGCCACAATTTGAAAAAAAAATTAAATTTTAATCAAACTATATAAAACTAGTTTGATTACGAGTATTTAAACCAAAATCATAAAGGTGGCGGTGGAGCTGAGGACAGAGCATCTGCCTTCCATGTGAATATCCCGGGTTCAAATCTGGACAAGGGACTAATTTTCTTTTGCTTATTTTATTTTATGAATTATTAAAAACAAATTATTTTAAAATTAGTTATTTTGTCTTAATAACCTAAAATATAATAGATTTTCGTTAGTAGGTCGTAGAAAAAATATACTGTACAACTCCATATCCACTCTTGTTGCACAAACTACTATTTCAGTTTTAGTATAATTTGTCAATAACAATAACACATTATACAGGATAATTTACGACGCCTCTGAGGTTTATAGCAAATCGATAAAGTTTTAAAATAGCTCCTATTTTTTAAGTATATATGATGAGGAAAGCCACCTTTTTAAAATTATTTTAAAATATATACTTAGTATGTCCCAAAAAAATGTGGCGTATCAAAGTTTTGTGGCACACCCTGTATTTTATTAAATTTTTAGATTCTCCCTGAATAACTAATTTCATTGATATACCAGACTTGATTTGTTAAAAAATAGAGATTTTTTGAATTTTGAAATTTTTTCTGTCAAGACTATTCATAATTAATCAAAATGACTAACTTTTTCCTTCCTATCCTATTTCTTTTATTTACTACCTCATTATATTTAATTAAAATAAATACGAGGTGGTCAAAAATTCAGATTAGGTAAAATATAAAAGTACCTAGGCGAAGGTACACGGCCTTTTGTATTTTTAGTTGAAAATCAATAAACTTTTAAAAGTTCACATTTTATTATTTACTTACCTGTTCCATTTTTTATACTACTTTTTTTATACGATTTTGACTTTTCCCTTAAGAATACCTTAAAGGGTACAGAAAACAATACACTAAGGGCTGGTTGTATAAAGCTTACTTAAAATTAAGCTGTTTTAGGTAATACATGTCAATTTCCGATGCTATATGTGCAGTCTAATGTTTGGGGAAACAAGCCCTGAGTGCTAAATAGTATTTAGACTGTACCTATGCCATACAAAATTTGTCACGTGTCACCTCAAACCGAGTTTAACTTTAAGTATGATTTATACAACCCGCCCTTAAAATATCTTTAACTTTAAGGAATCCTTAAGAAAGTCGTTGTAAACGGCTATTAGTTTGACACTTTGAATTACCTATTTATAAATTTTATTTGTACCGGTCCGGTTAATTCATGGTTCCTCAATTCTATCATAATTTGTTGTTTTATCGGCAAAGTAATTAGAAAAGTAATTATAAAAGTAATTGTTAATTCACTTTTTTGTAATTGTAATTAAATCAATATAATTCCTATTTTTACAACATGTACTTTGTACTTGTAACTAATTCCTTTTTTGAAAAAGTACTTTGTAATTGTAATTATTTTTAAAGTACATGTAATTACCCAGCTCTGATGTAAGGTAGGAAATACTTGAATTGTGCGGAATGTGACAGCGTTCGAGACGTAGAAAGTTAGAGAAGTAGGGCGTCTGGACGTTGAGCGTCGGGATGAATACAATGGTAAGAAATACTAAAGTGGTGTTAGAAGTGATAGCGTAGAAAGGTAGGGAAGTAGGACGGCGGGACATTGGGCGTCGAGCCGTTGACACCTTAGGGAAATAGGAGGTATTGTAGGATATACGTCGTTTAAGAAGAACGTTTTAGGAAAGGTACAGACTATATAACTGGATACAGATAATAAACTGATTGCTTGAAGGTAAATGAATAAAATGGATGCTTACAATCAAATAATAAAAAATGAATGAATCCGACCTCATTTGGGTCTGGGTTCTTATAGCAGTTTTAATGGCTTTTTGTGACATCTCTGTGTGTCTTAGTTCACATCGAAAAACGAATGTGGATGGAAAGTGGGTGGCTGATTTATTACTTGCCTTAAAAATTTTGTGTATCGAAAACAACGTTACTATTCAAACGCACTTAAGATAAGTGTTTCAAGTGTTTTTTGGTCTGGGTTCCCAGACACGTGCACGAAAAGTGGATCTCTTAAGGACAGAGTTATAGATATTATTTATTAGGTGTCGTAAATAAGATTTAATTATCTAAAAGATTTTTCGTTAAATGAAGGATTTTGAATTTAATAAGAATGCAATAATTTATTTAATAAATAGAATTAATAAATTATTAAGGTACCTGAGTGAGGTAGGTTACAGTTATCATTTTGACTTTCCACTTGTTTACTTTAATTGAGAAGTAGTTCTAAAAAATACATAAAATTGTACACGTTGTTTTAGGGAGTTTCAATAAAATATTAGTTTTATTAGCAAAAATAATTATTTACCATTAAATTTATCACAATCTGTACATACTCTTATTGGTACAAGTTTTATCTTTTTTTGTATCTGTGTCTTCTACTTAAACATCTGATTTTTATTTTTACCATAATCCACTAAAATATAGAGTTTTTGATTTAAACTTTAACAGATGAATTGCTAATAGGTAATGTTTAAGGTTATATCAGCTTATACCGGTTATTTTAAAACTAATCTCTAAATAGGTAACTTTGCCTTCGTGCAATATTCGGCGAGATATGCGTCAGTTAACATAATAGATAATGTTTTACTTACGGTTTCTCTTCCATTTTATATATTATTGGCTCATACAAGGTTTTCTCATAAAGTCAAATAAATCCTCAGAAAGTTACAACTCGCTACAATCGCCACGCCCATATAAACTTTTGACAAGACACAGCACACGCAGGTTTTGTAACATTTTTCCGACATTGTGAAATTGATCGAATCGAACAGTCCATGAGCTTTCGTAGTGCCGGCCAGGCAAACATGATGTAATTTATGAAGAAAAGTATGATTAAAATAACATTAATTTCCACTTAATATGCAGTAAAAAGTGCCAATGATTGTAAATATGGCTCTAAACGTTAAACTTAACTGATTATTTTGCTATGTTTAATTGCTGTATTTTTGTACCATAATTTCAATCATCGGCCGACAAGTTTCTGCCATATTAGTGTTTGCTGGGAGCCCTCATACATTTTATTTATCATAATATAACCCTTACAATTAGGCAGTCCATTAATCTTTCCTCTACTTTGTACTATTTTGATAACTATTCAGAAAAAGTTTTAAGCAGGTAAGTAGGCATCTTTAATATTAAAAAAGTTCCTGTATGCAGTTGTTCATCTTATTTTCAAATAAATTTTCAAAAACGCCTTAGCATTTAACTAATGCTCAAAAGTCGAAGGCTACATCAAAATTTGTAGAAAATTGGTCTTAAAATGAAGTGGCTTCTAAATTGCCATTGCTATTGCTTCACAAATCTGAAAATTCAACGTTTCGTTTATTTTATGCTATGAGTTTGCCAGTGAGATCTCAGTACCGATAAGGTGGGAACGACCAATTTGGCATCCCTCGAATTTAATAATAAATCGTTTATGTGGTACCGGTTTCAAAATTAATTCTACTCTATGGACTTTACCGCTGTTCATAGTTTTGGCGCACTGGCCATATTTCTGATTAATCAATCAACATCTCTGTTTTATGAGTGTCGTATTCATCTATATTTTGAGATCTTTCGAGATGGATGATAAAAAATAAACAAATTCGTAAGTCAGTAAAATATTGTTCGACAGATTTTATATTATAGTTGAAGGAAACACACAAAATTAGGGTTTTTAATTATATTGATAATCGGTATTTGTTCTTAGGTGGAATATTGGAGATACCAAAGTACGTGCAAAGCAGATTATTGGCGATTATGTTTTGGCTCCTCCGGGTTACATAGCTAAAAAGAAACCCGTCTACGGATCAGGAGGTCCACCTTGTTGGAAGTGGCTAGATGAAATATGGCGAGAAAAGATAGAAAGACAACAAGCTATATACAAAGACATGTTTGCTGAATATGTGAAAAATAGACGAACAAAAGTAATTAAAGATAGTAAGTTTTTATTCTTAAAAATCTGTTTACTAAATATGTTTTTTTTATACACATTTTATGCAGTTCAATTCTCTAGTTTGGAAAGTGTTATTTGACATTTACTAACGTTTCTTCGACCTCGATCTAAATAATGCTGAACATTTAAAAAATTTGGCAGAAGTTTCTAAAGGCTATCTAAAGCTGGGTTTAAACTAAACTTTAAAAAAATGTGTTTTTTCAGCATTGTATATATTATCTAGGTCATAAAATATTTGCAGCTGGATTAGAAACTGATATAAAAAAGGTTGAAGCTATTTCAAAAATACCTGAACCTAAAATTTTTACAGAAATACGTGATTTTCTTGGTATGGTAAATTATTATTCAAAATTAATACCAAATTTGGCACCATTGTATAGACTATTGGCAAAGGAGGTAAAATTTGCATGGACTAAGAATTGCCAAACAGCATTTGATTTAATTAAAAAAGAAATTTCCTGTGACCAGTTATTGATTCATTTTGATCAGAATAAACCAATAAGGTTGGTATGTGATAGTTCAGAATATGGCTTAGGTGCTGTGCTACAATGTTCAAGCTGATGCCTTGAGTCGTCTACCAATATTAAACAAAACTGAAATAGTTAAGGAACATTTTGACTATTTAAATTTTGTGGAAAAATAAACACCCATTGATACAAATAAGATTAGGTCAGAAATTCGGAAAGATCCTGTTTTAGGTAGGGTATTTAATCATATTGGATATGAATTCCCAGAATCACCTGATGAGGTGATTAAACCATTTGCATATAGAAAAGATAAACTGTCAATTGAAAATAATGTCATTATGTGGGGTTATAGGGTTGTAATACCTACAAAATTACGTTCTAAGTTATTATTAGAATTCCACAACACCTCATGAAGGCATCGTAAAGATGAAAACGAATGCCCGGGCGTACTTCTGGCGGCCATCCTTAGACAAGGATATAGAGTCCTTTGTAAACAGTGGTAGAGTATGTGCTAGTAGTAGAACAGAACCAGCTAAAGCAAAATTAATACCCCGAGGAAAAAGGTTCATATTTGTATTAAAATATACACGCAGATTTGGCCAGAGACTTTCATAATGAAAACTACGGATATAAATGCTACAACTGAAAAATTTTGAGAATATTTTGGGCGTTTCGGGTTGACAAAAGTGGTGGTAACAGATAATGGATATCAGTTTACCTCTGGGGAATTTTCAAGTTTTTTATACAATAATGGGATAAAGCATACTACATCACCACCATATCATCACATTCTACTACAGAAACTCAATGCATTGTAATACAGGTTTTTCACCCTCCAGTCTAGCGTTTAAACATAAACCTAGAAGTAGACTTGATTTGTTGGTGGTAGATAAGGCAAATCAGACTGTGATGACAAATGATAAATTAAAAAAGAAACGAGGTATTCGAAGTGGGGGATAAAATACTGTATAGACATTACCGAAATCCAAACCGTTAAGCTTGGGCGGAAGGTAAAATTGATGAGATTTTAGGGGACAGAGTTTTCTTATGTAAGTTTAAAAATAAAAGTTTAGTATGGAAAAGATATCTTGACCAAATGATAAGAGATAAAGGATCTGATTTGCCTTACGAGATCCCTGAAACTAAAATGATCGTATTTGAGGATAGTTCTGTACTTAACAATTTTAACACGTTCACGACCGCTATTATGAAATTTGACGATGCTAGAAACCAACCGCGTTTTTTGGATAGCATAACTTTTTGACAGAAATATTATATTTTTTATAGGTTATATGTGTTTTATTATCTATTTTTTGTATTTTTATTTAATGTCACATATATGTGACATCGGTTTCCGAGAAGTATTTCGTTAAAATATACCATCTGTCACAATAGTGTGACGTGTTATTTTTGATAAATTATAACATATTTCATATTCTAAATGAAACTAGGGATAAAGTTTTTGATTATTTATATTGCAAAAAACTAAGAAAAACTTTCTTTAAAAAAACAAACTGCAAAAAAGGCATAATTATTGTGAGAAATAAAAAAAATCTAAAAAAAAAACATTGCAACTCTGACTGCAGAAATTCTCATTTTTGACTTATATGCCGCATGCCAAAACATGGGGACGAGCATAATCCAATAGGGTTACCTTTATTATCCTAACATTGTAAACAGGAATACCAAGTCATACTCCTTTTTTTTATAAGTTAAGTGTAAAGGTTAAAGAAAAGGTCCTTTATTTCTCACAAGTCAATTTATTGGCGACCGGTTTCGAAGTTGTCACTTCATCATCAGGCACACCTAAATGGAATGTCAAGGAGTCAGTTGTAATAAAAACAATTATAAAAGCATGAACGGACTTTAACATATACAAAATAACAGAAAAAACACAAAAGAAAGTTAAACAATAACCTTGACTCATCTTGACTAATTCCATAAAGGAAGCGCTACAAAAAGTTTAACAGAACGAGTTAAAAAAGTCATGTGTAATAAGTAATTTTTTAAAAAATTTTTAATGTAGGTTAGGTTAAACCACCAGATGTCTTTTTGAATAAAATAATTATTTAAAACACATTTAAGACAATTATTAACTAAACAACACAAAATAGTTTTACAAGCACAAACAGTTTAAAAATTTTTAAGGAAATAATGTTAATTACTGAAAGTAAAAAGTAAAAAAGTAAAAATTATCAGACTGTCAAGACATCTATCTAGATTTTTAACGAATCAATGCAGTAAACTGTACATTTTAAATTAGCGGATAAATAGTGTACTAACGGAGGTGTTATTTACTGAAAGTGAGTATAGGTGGCGATGACAAAATTTTGTAATTAACATTATTTCCTTAAAAATTTTTAAACTGTTTGTGCTTGTAAAACTATTTTGTGTTGTTTAGTTAATAATTGTCTTAAATGTGTTTTAATTAATTATTTTATTCAAAAAGACATCTGGTGGTTTAACCTAACCTACATTAAAAATTTTTTAAAAAATTACTTATTACACATGACTTTTTTAACTCGTTCTGTTAAACTTTTTGTAGCGCTTCCTTTATGGAATTAGTTAAGGTGAGTCAAGGTTATTGTTTAACTTTCTTTTGTGTTTTTTCTGTTATTTTGTATATGTTAAAGTCCGTTCATGCTTTTATAATTGTTTTTATTACAACTGACTCCTTGACATTCCATTTAGGTGTGCCTGATGATGAAGTGACAACTTCGAAACCGGTCGCCAATAAATTGACTTGTGAGAAATAAAGGACCTTTTCTTTAACCTTTACACTTAATCCCTACTACTCACATATGGCTACCCTCACTCCAAATTTTTTATAAGTGTCTACAAACAACAAAAATCTACACAAGTTGAGAGACGATATAAACCACAGCCGCACGTGAATTTAAGGTTATGACTGGAATCAGTCATCCAATCCTAAAACCATATGACACATGTGTGTACCAGACACACCCAGAAACTGACGCCAAAACACATATGTCGCCTCTGAACCGCCAGGGAGTTATTTGCCTTTAATCATTTTAGGGTCATTGTCACACATTTGTGACATCAGTTCGTGTAAAAAACTGCTTGTCACATAATGTGACGCGTGGTCGTCAACAAGTTAAGAAAGACTTATCGCCTACAAGGGGTGAAAGTGAAAATGTGAGTTCAGAGGAAAGTGAAAGCAAGGAAGATCTTAATAAGGAAATAGGAGCTAGTGGTAGCTTAGTATTAGCAGTAAGGAAAATATTAAAAGTAGTTCTAAGTTGTTAGAAGAAAAAAACTAAAGGCAAATAAAACCACCTGTACGTTTAGATTTGTGATGGGGTCAGAGATGAGGTAATCAGTACAAAAACGTACTTGAAATAAATAATCACTATTTTTTTACTTTAAGTATTTTACTTAAAGTATTTATAAACTAACGATACTTTTGGAAATGTACTCATTACATTTGAAAACAAGTACTTGTACTTAAATTAACGCTTTTGTGGTAAGTATTACTTGTTACTTGAAAAATGTACTTAAATTTTTTTAAAATCTTAAGTAATTTTTAACAGTAAATACTTAAATGTAAAATACTTAAAGTACTTTTGAAACTATTTTAAATACATATTTATTACAAATACTGCAACGCCAAATAAGCTAGGACTCGTATTTTATATTACCCGGACACTAAACAGTACAGTAAAGTGACAGTAAACACGCTCAAACAAATCACGATCCTCCGGTAATTTTACTTTGGTCCAAAAAAAACAACAAAATGCCTTATGTTGAAACAGATGTGCAGAGGCGAAAAATTATTGCTCTCATTGAAAATGGAATGCCTCATTGATACATTAGCAGTGGTAGTAAACGATACCTAGAAACTCTCAAGAACAGGCCAAGACAAAGTCGTTAAAAAGTCACAAATGAAAAACAGGACCGCTATGTGTGCCAAATGGCTAGAAGAAATCCCATTGTTTCTCATCCAGACCTACAACGACAACTTCTGAAAGATATAAGTGTGAACGTTTTAGTTAAAACCCTAAGAAAAAGACTTTGTTCTTGAGGGTTGTATAGTAGGAGAGAGTTACGGGTCCCACCGTTATCTAGACAAAATAAAATTGACCGGCTAAATTAGTGCCTTCAACACCAAAACTGAAAATTGAGAATTGGTAAAATGTTCTTTTTCAAATGATAGCAGAATTGGCCTAAGATCAGATGACCATCGAATTCGGGTTCTCAGCGCTCCAGGAAGATGAGCGAGAATCCACGCTGCCAGATCTGTCCCAAGATATCAAGGAGGAACTGTAATGTTCTGGAGAGGTATTATGCTGGGAGCAAAACCTCCATTGTTACCACTTCAACAAACTTTAACTGGTCCGAGGTATGTTGATTTAGTGCTAGAACCAATCGTTAGGCTTTGAAGAGCTGCAATTGGGGATAATTTTATCTTTATGCACGATAATGCACTTCCCCATACCAGCAGAGTGGCTAGAGAATGCCTTGAAACGAAAGGCGTCACAGTTTTAGACTGGCCTGCATATTCACCAGAGCTAAACCCTATCGAACACTTGTGGAACCAGCTCAAAAGAAGGGTTAGAGCTCTTCGAAACAATGCAGGAAATGTCGTACAGCTTATTGATGTAGCATTAGCAGAATGGGAAAACATAACCCAAGACAATGTTGACAATTTAATAAAAAGCATGCCAATGCGAATAGAAGCTTTCATAAGGGCCAGAGATGGTAACACAGATTGTTAAAATTACAAATTTTCTTTTTGTTTTTGCTTTCCGGTTATTAAAAATTTAAATCTCATTTCGTTTCAGAAACCAAAAAATACCATTGTATTAATATTGTCAACTAGTTGATTATTTTTATTGTCATGTGGGTTATTTGTCATTAAAAGTCTTTAGTAACTAATCATAGCGTTTTCGACTGGTGAAACTGGTGCGCACTTTTTAACACTCGGTGCAAAATTTGTTTTCGACTCGTGAGAGCAGTGCGAACCGGGTCAATTTTTGACTTTTCGGTTGGAATGAGTTGAAAAAAATGAACCGTTGCGCACTTTTGTGAACCGAGTGTAGAGACAGGTTTTCAGTTTCAGTTCAGTCGTAACAAATATGGCGATGGCAAATGAAGAGTTGTTTCTAAAATATGTAAATTTTTTCGAATTTATAAAGAAATATTGGAAACTTCAGATTCAGACGAAGAAGATTTAATTAAGTTCAAGTTTAATAAAACTAAACTGCCAAAAATAAAAGATTACATTGAATCGTGGTGTCGAACCTGGATGACTCCCAGGTAGGTACCATAAATATTCTTGTAATTCCTGTATATGTATACATAGTATACGTTGACATCTTAAGAACTTAAACATAAGTAAGTTTATGTTATTCTGTTCATAAAATATTGCGTAGACAATATTAAATATATGTTTAAAATGAAAGATTGTCTTGGATCTTATTTGGAATTTGGAAGGTACTCCTTCTACTTATCACTCAGATGATAGCTGTCAAATACAATACAATGCACTAGGTGGTCAACTGCGTGTTCGGTTGGAATAAGTTTGTATGACGTCACTAAATTGAACCAGTGCTGAGCAACGAAAACTTGCACTTCACGAGTGTGAACTGAGTGTGACCAGTCGAAAACGCTATGAGTGTTATTCATAAACAACGATTATATTCTTCCGCTAAAATAATTAATGCTCCTAGACGTCATGCGTTAAGTATAGAGACATGACTCAATAATCAGACCAACCTCTCCAAAGGAAAATATATAAAAACAGATGATACTGATCCTAAGACAGCATCTGGTTTCGATTTAATTACAGTAGAAGTTTTAAAAGAACTTCCAAAGAAAGCCATAATTAAACTTACACACCTGTTTATCGCCTTATTCAAATTAAGGTATGTCCCTAGGTTGTGAAAAGTAGCTGTAGTCATTATGACACCCAAACCAGGAAAACCTCCAAACGAAGTTTCGTCATATATACCAATATCTATATCGCCTATATGATAGAAGCTATTTAAAAAAATACTAATGAAAAGACTGAAACCCATCATTGACGAAAAGAAATTTATTTCAGATTATCAGTTCGGCTATAGAGATAACCATTCAACTATAGATCAGGTTCATAGAATTTCAAATGTAATTGAAAAAGCATTAGAAATAAAATAAGTATGTTCAGCTATCTTCCTCGATGTTGCGCAGGATTTTAAGAAAGTATATCATGATGGCATAAAACCTAAAGGGAGTGTGCTACTTGCACAGCCATACTCAGAGCTGCTGGATATATACATTTCAGATTAAGCATATTCCGAATTGAAAAAAATTAAAGCAGGAGTACCACAAGGAAGTGTCCTGAGACCCACTTTGTATCTGTTGTACACTTGTAACATACCCCGACTAGAACAAGACACAATAATAGCACATTTACAGATGATACTGCCATCCTAGCGATAGGCAAAGGTCATAAAGAGGCTGCAAATAAACTACAAACATCAATTAATCAAATAAATAACTGGACCAAAAGATGCCGTTTTAAACTAAACGAAACCAAATCTGTTAATATTAATTTTATTAACAAAAATGGTTAACTAATACCAATTAACATAAATAATGCCCAAATTCCTTATGCTAACTAAAATTCAAGAACATATACTGGTTACTTGGTAATCATTCCAGCTTAACTACATATAACAAAATTCTTTTATGTGTAAAGTCCACAAACCAATTTGGACCTATGGCATTCAGCTCTGGGGCTGTGCCAGCAACAGTAATATTCTAAAAATCCAGAGATTTCAGAACAAAGTATTTAGGAACATTATCGATTCTTCTTGGTACATTAGAAACACCGACCTTTATTGACGTATGGTGCTACATCAGGTGTGAATAAAGTTCAATAGACGATCCCAACAAAAAATAAGAAGTTTGATAGTCCATAAATCCACTTCAACATCTCATTTTAAATCCAGATGTAAAAAATATAATCTGGACACTTACATCTCAAATAAACAAATGCAAATTGAGATGGAGCAGGATCAGGAGCAGATGTGAATAAATTAACGCTCCAGAGTTAAAAAACTGATCATGTGGATATTCAAACGTAGCATACATACTTGCTGTAACTTTTAATTATTCAAACACTTTGATTTAATATACTTTGTGCTAAGTACAGCACTAATTTATATCTCGTTTACTTATACAGCAATTTATATTTATATGTTTGTGAATAGAATGATATCCTTACTTAAATTGACACTAACATCAAAACTTGGTTATTTGTATACATATTATGTGTCGTTCTAGATCTAGAACATTCCAGACATCTTTCGACTAGGAATCAGTTAGAACATGCTAGACCTGTGCATCCACAAAAATTGTTGCACCTAAATTTTTTATTTATCGAAGGGTTCAGTATATTCTAGATCAATGATTTACTTTAACTAATGAGGGCATGGGGCATGGGCATAGACATTTTGGAAGTTGACTTATTTTTTAGAATATTTTTGGTAACGGGAAAAATAGAGGCCGTAAAAGGCTTAGATAAAGCAGAAAGGGACTCAAGGTATTAGACTATGACCAGACTAGTCAAAACAGCTCGCACGACTACTGTTTTCCTATCTTTTAAGTTCCTATACCAATTTCTGAATTTTTTTTAGAATCCAACATGTACAATTTTAAGTTCAAGCTAGATTGTCCACTCTGGTATCAAGAATTGTCCTTCAGGCAGATGGCAGTAGCAGAAAATCTACAATGGTGTATAAATACGGATCTTCACTTCAATATAATAGATAACACCAAAGATAATCTGGCCCGATTAGGTCTGATGCTCAGAGCGAATTCAAAAGGCATAAAAATTGCCCTAAAATATTGTTGCGGTAGTGATGTAGAATTTTTATTGGTGTTGTATCAGATATCTAACCCAAACAGAACAGATTATTCAATAAATGACAGATTGCTGCTTTCCGCAGTGTATCATCTGTGTATTACTGAAACTTTGAGGTAATTCTTTTAAGTGCATTCTAAAACTTTTTTAAAAAGATCAATAAAAAATTATATTAAAGAACATTTTTGGACAAAATAATTCACTAAATTTTAGTAAAAGAAAACCTGTTGTTCAAATTATAAACTTTATTAATATTATATAAATAAGTTATAGGTAATAAACGAAGTAAATGTCAAACAATTCCTGCGACCAGGTACCCTATTTTCGAACTCATGAGAGCACTTCTACACTCTCCTACTCGACGGTGAGTCTACAGCTTCATCACCAGTGTTGCCAGACGACCAAAACCAAATTGTACAATGCTGTAGAGATTATCTTTCTTTTTTTCTCATAATTTTATCTTACGTAACTGACCTTACTAGTGTGATGTAACAGCACTATACTCCACTTAAGCTGATTTTTAGCCCAGATCTGGAGAAAAAATTGAACCGGCAACACCGTAATACCACTGACTAAGCATATGGTAAAGCGTCAAATTCCCCAGCACTAGCCCAATTTATCCCCAGATTTCTATCTAATTCAAGATGGCCGCTATATGAAAAACAATTACTAAATACATTACAAGGTGTACTTAGCGTTTGTCAATCATTAATTACCTTGTCCATAATTAATGACCTGTCAATCATTAATTATATAATTAGTTAATTTAAGTCGCTAAATGAAGGCTTAGAACAAAGAGGCTAATATTAATTGAAAATAGGATACCACATCGCTGTTAAAGAAAAGGTGACCGACTTCAGGTATAAGGGTTCGGCTAATAGTAAAAGAGTATGTCATATTTTGTATTAATTGCTTGAATAGATGTAGGTAAAAAACCATGAGTTTTAAATATGAAAGGGTTGTGAGATCATTGCAGTTAAATATGTGTAATAAATTTGAGATTAAATCGGCTTCGACGAATATACTTATGAATACCATATTTTTAACCCTGTTGAGAATAAAACTAAGATACATTAAATTATAAGTATATGGGGTATGGTACGACCACAAACATTCAAAAAATTCAAAATACATCGACACATGAGCTGGTTAAAAAAGAATGTATGCATTTATTTACTTATACGAGAACTTAATTATCGGCTTTTATCAAATACGTTATAGACCATGTGTTGGGATTTCTGCTCTAGTTACTGAGCTTATTTTCAGTTAATGGGTAACATCAATCTAGTCACGAGGAATACGGGTAATATCGAAGAATGCCGGAGAGGACAGCCGCGAGATTAATGTGCCTCCACATTCTCGCAACTGTTGAGTCGTGGTATTTCCGAAAACGCCCTGGATGGGTGACCACTGGAGGGCGTTACACCAAGAGACGCGGCACCAAGGAACTTAGCTGATTAGCGTATTTATAATATAATTTTCTAAAACACTAAATATTTTTACCTGAATCTATACTGAGATCTACATTCAGTGATTGTAAACCCAATATTTTGGTCACAAGCCGCCAGTGCTATGGTGATAGCACGGGGATTCGAAAGGTGTGAAATTAAAAAATATTGAAGAATCTAACTGAATGCATGTGCTGACAAGGAGGCAAAACCCTATTAATCAGGCTCGTGTAATAATAAGCTAATAGGTATGGTACCAATAGTTGTATGTTGATTTTTAATAATTGGAGAAGTACTTTGATAATTTGCTAATAAATCGGTACTTACCAATTAAAAAGGATAAAGAAAAAAAGCTTAGCTATCTTATTAAAATCAAAAAGTTTTCTGACATGAATTATTATCTAATGGGTACTTAAAGCAGTTATTACAACTAAAATTTAAACCGGCAACACTGAAATGCCACTAAGTGTATGACAAATCCTCACAATTATTGAATTTCCCCAGCACTATCCCAAAATGTTTTTCATATTTTTATAAACTTCTAGATGGTCACTATTTAAAAAAAAAATTGCTTATTACATAACAAGGTGTTCTTAGACTAGTTATTAGCTCAGGTGTATTTATAGGAGTTAATTGTTATATTTACCAAATAGATTATAAAAACTGTTACTCATCACACACAACAAGGTGTACCCAGAGTTATTATTTAACGTGTACTTAGGGTACATAGTTGGGTATTCAATTATTATCTGAGGGATACTTGGTACACTTACTACTTATAATTAAACCAGCAACACCAAAATATTACTAAGTGTATGACAAATCCTCAAAATTCTTAAGTTTCTCCAGCACTATCTCAATTTTTCCCTAGATTTTATATAATCCTAGAAAGGTTCTGTATGAAAAACAATTGCCCATTGCGTAATAAGACGAACTTAGAGTAATTATTATCTAAGAGGTAATTAAAGCAATTACATCTAAAAAATCGATACGTATTAATTAAAAGGTAAAGTTTTTTCTTAATTTTTTAATTAATAAGTTGTTGGACCATAATAACTACTAAATCTTTTTTTTTTGGCTTTATTATAATCCAAGGTTTCTTAATTAAATCTAAAGTGTTCTTAGATGAATTATTATCTAATAGAGCAATTTTTACCACTACTAATTAAACCGGCAACACTGAAATGCCTACAACAAATCCTCAAAATTCTTAAATGTTCCCTAGCACTATCCCAATTTTTCCCCAAATTTTTATTACTTAACAAGGTGTACTTAGAGTAGTTATTATCTAAAAGGCAAATACTTCTATTAGATATGCCGACAAAGGGGTGCCGCCAAAGGTAATTAATCATTGCAGTTAAATTTGTGAAATAAATATTTGTGATTAAATTGTAGGTTAAGAGTTATTGCTTCGATGACAATAGCAGGAAATTTGTATTAAAAATAGGCGTTCTGTTTTAATCATAGAAGACACAGTTTTAAAGATAGTACCATATATTTTTTTATGTGTAAAGAGAATAAGTGGCACTAGCCCTTTTTTGAAAAAATGGTTCGTTTTGTCTACAAAAAATTATAAAGTTTATTAATTTTGTTTAAAAAAGGACAACTTTTAATAGAGAATTAACATTATCAAACATGCATTATTTTTCGAACTATTAATGTCAACTTGTAGTAAATCTTTTTCTTAATAAGATCAAAAAATAATTTTTAAAATTGGACTTAATATAAAGCCGTAATCATTAAAATAGCAAAGTAATTTCGGATATAAAAATGATTGAAAAATATTATTACGATATCCCCTCTCAAGACGTTCCGTGTTCGTACCGAAGGATGGGTGCTGTTGCCTTCCTCGTCTACCTAGTATTGAAATCTGGCCAGAAACGGAATAAGGGTACATAAAGGATCGAACTTAAATTTAGTGTTGCTCGGTTGGTGTGAAGAGGGAAATTTTATTACATGAGATAATTTTGTTTTCTATATAGAATTTGCAATGTTTCAATATATTTAAAACATAGTTTGATTAGAAAAAATTAGGTAGAAAAATTATATTTGTATAGTAGGTATATATTATATTTTCTAAAATAATTCATTTTGCAAAGAATATCAATTAAGCTACTAATAAATTAAAATCTATAAATCAGCCTTATAAATAATGTATTTAACAAATGTTTTATACTATATTAATAATTTACATGTTTTCTGACTTATCTGTGAATGAAACGTGGAGAAAATAGTTTTACTTACTAAGTTTTTCCTGATTTTGTTGCTGTCTGCTGTTGTAGTGATCTGATAATTTGTAGACTGTATAACTGTTTACAAAAAGATATTTCCTTGGATGCCCTCTTTTCAGCATAGAATAAATAAAGCAAGAAGATGACTTAATATTTTATTTTGTACAACTATATAAAATATATTAATTTACACCATTTAACGTATAATAGTATTTTGCAATTTTTACAATACTTACGAATGCCTCTTATTCGAAATTTATGCTATTGGTTTAAGAGAATATAATTCAGAATTATTTCGGTCTATATATATATATTGACTGAAACTCAAAAAGATATTCTTATAGAAATAATATTTTTAAAAACTGAGGGAACAGAGCCGAAGTGTTTTGTTACTATCCGGCTTTGATAGGTCCGAATTTTATGATGGCTGCCGTTGAATGATGTTATCATATTTTGTTGTTGCTAACTTTAAGATACAAATACATATTTTCTCATTTTGATGTCAACGATTTTAAAAAGTTTTTGCTTTTAAAATAAGTGAGTATTATAGAAGGACAAACAAACGCCAAAATTGGCGTAATATATTATGAACAGGGGCGGTTTCTCCATTGGTTCATTTGTGCAGTGAACACTCAGTTAAATTTCATAAAAACACAATATTTTAATATTACATAAATAACAAAAATTTAATTTTAATATTTTTATTTTCATACGTGTTAATCTATATTTTTTTGTACATCATTGTCCTCTGGCTGATCGCGTCTTTGTGTCACAGTATACCTAAATATACTGTGTCTGTGGCGCATTATGATGAGTGAGCCTAACACGAGTGAGACGATATGCCGAATGCATATAGCTAAAAAGAGAAAACACGCCAACAGATCCTGCAAACTGTCAAAAAACACATTAATTGGCGCGCTGCTCACAAACAATTTTTAGCAAACATCAATCTCTAAAAGGAGAAGAAGCCCTTTCATTATAAAAAAAAAATCTGATCAAATATGGGGGATTTAAGGGGGGTTGAAATTAAAAAAAAATCAAAAATGAAAAACGACATCAACATGAAAGTTTTAGTAAAAATCAAGGTCTATAAGAAGATGAAGCCTATTGATTGTGAAAACAATCTCCTTAAAAATTGGGGTTAAGGGGGTCTGTTAAACTGCGAAGAATATCATTTAAAATGCCAGGCATTATATATATATTTATTCTAGTTTGTGTCTGTGTAATAATTATGTATTGTGATGGGACTGATCTTATAAAATAAACATTTAAAACATTTTAGTTCTTATTTTATTTGCCAATAAAAGGTATTTAAAAAATGTATTTGTTATTTGACATCTGTGATAAATTGTGAAAATGATTAAACTTACAATAAAAACTAAAAAATGGTAGGTAAAGTTTCATATAAAATTTTTTACACAAAAATCAATGTCAAGCTTTCTACATAACCTGATATATATATTTAAAAATAACCTCAAATTATGAAGAAAAGTCAGTTTACTAACTAATAATGTTTATAGATGGTTTTCAACGTATTAAAAACAAAACAAATATCACACTAACTAAAATATTCATTTATTAATAGTTGTAGTGCTTGAAAACAGTATGATGTTGATAATAATAACTACACTTAATACAAACTCAAATAATAAAAAAAAGCGATATTGGCTATTGTACAAAGTTTTTATCCGAACTTACATATAATGACATTATTGGAAAAAGTGAACAACCATTTTAAATTACCACAAGCCGCCACTGATTATGAACCCTGTACATCATTTTTTTTTCATTTTTAGATATGATGTAAATGTATCACAAATTATAAAATAATTTAATTTTGTTTTTGTGAAGAGCAGGGCGTTTGACTAAACAGCTCGATATTATTTTTTACAATGTATGCATACGAAATGTATTTAAAATGATCGGTTATTATTTTTTGATAACTTAATTGGACCTAGTACTACAAATAAATTAGTTACAGAAGACCTGCAAATAAATATAGGTATTATAGCGTTTTAACAGTACCTAGATTAAAATCATAAATATTAAAGAAAATACTTTTAGAATAAATAGCGGCTTTGTAGAAACATCTTACTATTAATGTTATTTGACTTTTTGGAGATATTTATTTTTGTTTTTAATTTTTTAATTTTTGAATAGCTTCTAAGATGTAATCAGGTTCTCTAATGACATTCATTGATTATGCCTTAGATCTATCATTTCTGGCAACATACAGTTTATATAAAACTTTTTTAACTTCTCCATATTTTTACACCAGAAATCGTCTCTTTTTATTATATATTTCACTTTAAGTGGATAATTGGGACCTGTCCATACACCAAAAATACATCCTTTTCGTCCTGTAATATGTTATTGGCCTTGTATTTGATAATACCCATTGATGGTGGATATTAATGTCAAAATTATTGGTGTCTTTATTAAAAATCCAAAAGGGTATTTTTTTCAATTTAATCGCCTCTGCATTTGATATGCAGCGTATGGACATTTTATTTCAACCACTAATTCATCTCCTATAATGCCGTTTCGAGTAGCATCTACAAATTTAAAAATTATTATTTTGATTTAAAATGAACTAATTTGAGATGTGAGTAAAAATGTGAACTGATCGTTATGTACCTAAAAATGGATATTTTTTGTCAATAAAAATTCCACAATCTTTAATCACTATATTTTCCTGCTCTTGAAGCTGCAAAAGTGCCGTTTTTTTCATACTTTTGGCCATGAGAAATAGCAGCATTGAGTGGTAGTTAGTAAATAATCCCTTTTGACTAAAGGCTCACATAAAGTAGTAATTCATCTAGTACACACTGCTTTAAAGTGTGAGGCCGTAATCATTTTTCTACGAATTTCAAGCCGAACCCTGTTATCCGCCTGTGACATAGTTTGTTCCTAAATTACATTTCTCTTAACGTCAGATGAAGGAAATTCGTTTAAAAATTGAAGTTTTTTTATTTCATAAATATCTTGATCTAAATCCTTTTTGGTGCAATTTTCTCCATAATCTAAATCAGTTTTATTGGTTTTTGCAGAATAACTTTTTTTTAACTTTCGGTTAGATTTTGATTTTATTGCTAATTGTTGCCTTTTTTTTTCAATTCAGTTACTAAGATGGATTGGTTTGTACGGTTTAAAGTATTTTTCAATTCTGAATTCCCTGATTTCGAATTATATGATACAACTGCTGCAAAACATCTACTTTGGTAAGAGCACACTCTGGAATAATTGATTCTTTTGCCACCTACAAACTTAGCGACTGTCGCACGAACTTGTTCCACAATATTACTATCAACATCATGTAATAGACTTCTGCTGTGATCTGACAAAGCATGTATAATTTGTAGAAGTCTTGTAAAAAATTCAGGTTTAGATCTGAAATTGGTTATTTCGTTTTTGGTTTCATCTGTATGCTTCTGACAAAAATAAATATCGCAGTTTTTATGATCACCAAAAACGTGAAAACTTGAATTTTCTATGTCTTTCTTTAAAAGCAAAACGTTATTAATAGTACTAAGACTATTTTCTTTTCTATAAGAAACTGCCTTCGTAACAGATGTTCTTAAACGAAGAATGTTATGACTAACTAATTTTCTTAGTTTTATTAGAAAATTCACAAATAACTTTTTTCTTTTAGGCTCAAAATTTTACTAAATACGTTCAAATCTTCAATTCACCGGTATAACTAAATAAATCGTCGATCAATTTCCTATGAGGCGGGAAATGTGGCTGGACGACCCTTTCTTGGAATTTTGAAGGTAGGGGTATAATAGGAGTAATATGCCGACAAATTAGTTCTCATGAACGGAGCAATAACTCTTAATAGTAGCCTCTTTGTTCTGAGCCGCGTTAAATTTACCTTCATTTAGCCGACTTAAATTAACTAATTATATAATTAATGATTGACAGGTCATTAATTATGGACAAGGTAATTAATTATGGACAAGGTAATTAATGATTGACAAACCCTAAGTACACCTTGTAATGTATTCAGTAATTGTTTTTCATATAGCGGCCATCTTGGATTTTATAGAAATCTGGGGATAAATTGGGCTAGTGCTGGAGAATTTGACGCTTTACCATATCCTTAGTCAGTGGCATTACGGTGTTGCCGGTTCAATTTTGTCCCCAGATCTGGGAAAATCAGCTTAAGTGGCGTATACTGATGTTATCGGAAGCTGATTAATTTAGGAGTTTTTAGGGTTAGAGTAATTAGATAATAATTTTATTGAATAAATAACAACCTATTCTTGTTCAGCTAAAGTTCTAAAATAATTTCTTTTTCTTGTTATCATGTAATCCTTTCTGATTTTGATCTTCCAATTATTTTTGTCTATACATTTTTAAAGATGAATTTTATCATTTCATATGTAGATTTAAAACCACATTTCACGTATTTCCTTATGTAAAGTGGCGACCGGTCAAATTTTCTGAAACTTTGGTATGTTACTGTACTCAACCCAATAACCAAAATTATAAATAGGCTCAACTAAATCCTATGACTAGTTTTCGATATACAGGGTGTTAAAGTTGAAAATTGCTTAGTTTTTCGAAATATTTATTTTCAAACTTACGAGCTAGATTGAATGTATGTTGTATACACACACGTTTACTACATTAGTACATACGTATAAATAAAAATATTTCCAAAGATTCACAAATGTATGACGGTAGTTTTTCCAAAATCTCACTAATTTTACTGTGACGTCAGGGAAGCATATTTTTAAAAAATACTACACAAATGGTATTTTGGCAACAAAATATTATACAATAAATTTCCTATTAACCCTTTCCGGACGGGCAAATTTTTTAAAGATGTTTACTTGACGAGGCTTTTTTGAAGAATAATGCGTTTCCGCCATGATTCCTCAAGGGCATATTTCATGGAAATTTATCTAAGATTTGAAACAAGTCTCAAACCTTGAGTTCGCATCAAATTTAAGAATAAAAGTTTATTGTAATTTCATAAACAAAAATGAACAATTATTGGTTATGTCTTCAAAACAGAGGACCCCAAAATACACAAGGAAAACTTTTTATTTTTACTTAAAGGGAACTGCACGTAAGGATTCCTTCACCTCCAAGAGAAGGAAAGAAGAAAGTTATAGAACTACCGAAAAGACCAAAGAGGCAGAAATTCGACTCACCTTATTTGGAACCTTTCACTTATGTACGCCCTCCTCCAAAGAATACCGGAATTTATAAAAAGAACTTAATCCAATACCCTGAAAGTCCATATTTTTTTTATTTGGGAGACTTGGTGAGTATAAATCTACAAAAGAGATTACTACATATTTGGTTGGTTTATGAAGCAATTTCTGTTAGTTGGAAGTATGCGTTGTAAGTTTCTGAAGAAAGGTTTTACTATCACAAACTGCTCAAAATTAAAAGTATAATCAATCAGCTCTTTACTTTCAGTACGAGGAAATAGAAAACAGTCAAGATCCAAGAGAAATTGATATAAGCGAGATAGAAGATCCAGGTAAATTAAATACAAATCTTTCATCTGCATATGCACCGTAAATATTGATCAAAAGGAATGTAGGTGTCTTTTAAGCAAATTACTAGTTTTTCTACGATCAATATCCAAAGTAGGCTTCTGCACATTCAAATCTAACTGGAAAGTTGACGTTTTCCATGAATTGTCATAGTTCGACATTATTGCCGCATATTGGCGGAAAGTTACTTTTTGCACACGCCTATTTTCTTTAGAAAATTTTAATAGAAAGGATGTTATTATAAAGCTAATCCGTATTTTAAAAGAAAATTTAGACTGATCTGAATCTTTTTGTTGAACATTTAATAATCAAACTCATTTTCCTTAATATTCAAATGATAATTGAAATATTAAAAATAAATAAAGGTAAGGTGGGGCAACTGGGCCCAAGGGGTAACTGGGCCATAGGCATTTTAAACAAACGTGTTTAGAGAATTTTGTTTTTTGCGGTTGATATAACTTGCAAAATGCTCTCTTCTTTTTTAAACAATGACTCAACGCTTAGTTGTGCACTTGGTATCAACGTGGTTAGTTCTGTAATTTTTTATGTTATTTGTGAGAAAACATCGTGCTAACACAGAATCTTTGGAAATTTTGCATTATATCACGGTAAGTACTTGTGTTATGTAGTTAGTTTAGTAGTAACCTGTAACGTATTCTGAACAATATAATATATATTTTGTAAGCTTTTTTTCTTAAACTTTTAATTTAGAGGGGGTGGCCCAGTTACCCCAGGAATGGTTTGAAAAAGGGACATCTGGGCCATATAGCAGGGGCAACTGGGCCTATTACTGGTCCAGTTACCCCTTGAGGTCCTAGTTACCCCAGTATAGTTCTAAAAAATTTAAATTTGTTTATAAATAAGTTCTACTTTATTTTTTTACCTGATATAAAATGTTCGTTGGTAATCTGAAGAATCTGACTAGTTTTTATCTTTCGAAATTAACCAAACTTACTTTTATTAAACAAAGCTCTTGTTTCGTTGCAGATTATGGTGTGAAAATATACGAGGAAAACCCAAAAGGGAACTGGTTCCTCGTACACAAGAGAGGATTTTGAAAGAGCCGTAGACGATGTAAAAAACGGAAATAAGACTACCCGGGGAGCATCTTCATTTTACAACATACCACGCTCTACATTAAAACACTACGTAATGGGCACTCGAGGAAAAGGTTTTACGTCACAAGAAGGAAGAGGTGGTGGTGGTGTTTTATCTTATTTATATCTTGCAGCAGAAGACGAAATGGTAAACTGTATCAAAATAATGGATAGAAATGGTTTCGGGCTATCTAGAGAAGAAGTATTGGATCTAGTTCAATTGTACATACGACAAAATAATTTACAAACTAGATTCAAAGACCAACGCCCTAGTAAAGACTGGTTTATATCTTTTAAAACCAGACATCGTCTATCGCTAAAGAAGCCGCAGAGTATTGAACATAGTAGGTGTGACCAAATAAACCCTTGGGTAGTATACAATTTGTTTGAAACCTTAGAGAAAACCGTGGAAGAACTTGGTCTTTAGGGAAAGCCAGCACAAATTTACAACTGTGATGAGACGTCATTTTGCCACGATCCGTCAAAAACTAAGATTGTTGGTGCTATCGGTGTAAAGAGTCAACGCAAAACTAGTTCATCTGGAAGAGATAATACATCTGTCTTGCTTTGTTGTTCCGCTGAAGGAAAGATTATTCCACTGCTATGTGTTTTTAAAGGCAAATATGTCATGGAGAATTGGGTAAATACAAAGGCTGCATCAGAAACTGCAGTTTCAGCAACGTCGCGAGGATGGATAAAAACTACCTTATTTTACCATTGGTTTCGAGATATTTTCTTGAAAAATATAAGTGAAGATAGGCCAGTATTGTTAATTTACGATGGGCACAGCACGCATATTTCAACTAAACCAATCGGATTAGCCCAAGAGAATCAAGTTACAATACTAAAGTTACCTCCTCACACGACACACGTCTTGCAACCGCTAGATGTTGCTGTGTTCAAAAACAAATTGGGACAAGCAATTTTGTAAATGGCAGCGCGAAAATCCTAGAAAGAAAATTCCCTAAACAAGATTTTGTATCAATTCTTACTAAGCTTTCCCAAGAATTGCTTGCGACAAATATTACCAATGGCTTTAAAACCACTGGAATTTATGATCCTGACAAGCTAGGACCCAACAAGGAGGCAATTCCTCTAACAGTGTTTAAACCAGATGTCTTAAAGAGATACAACAAAACTCTCCCCCATCCAGGGGTTGACCAGCCGGAAATAGTCACCACACCTTCAGCCACTACGCAGTCAAAAGAAGAAGCAACCTCAGTCATTACCCAGTCAGAAGTTGAAATTACTTCTCCAATAAAATCTAGCACATCCACAGCCACTGCACAGCAAAATGTAACAGGAGTTGTTACCATGGCCAGAGACTACATGTCCATGCTTTTAGACAGGCCTACAACATCCGCTGCTGCAGCTCAATCAGTATTCGCCACCACACCTACAGTGACGACTTTAACATCAGAAGTAGAGACAGAAATAGATGTTACATCCACAGCCATAACGTCACCAGTATCGTTTGAGGATTTATTATTAGATATGATAAAAAAAGGAAAAAAAACCAGAAAATCAAGAAATAAAGCGTAAAAAACTGTGAGATTATCACTACCAAACAATATATATTGCAAAAAGAACAGAAAGATAAATTAAAAGAAGAAGAAATACAAAGAAAAAAGCACACAATATACAACAAAAAAAAAAATTAAAACTGTTATAAAAAAAAGTTCAAAAATAAAAAAATTAACCAAGAGATGAGTCCAAGTGAAGAAGACACTGACACTTTTTCTCTACAAGAAAGTGATGAAGATACAACTATGATGAATTCTTCTGATGACGAAGACGACTCCGATGTAACTTGTCTGCATAACGGAGATTACTGTGTCGTCAAAGTATACGGAAAAACTCCTCAATCTTTTAGACTGTATGTTGCAAAAGTTTTAAAGAAAACAAAAGATGGCTACGACGTAATATTTTGCAAAAAACAAAATCAATCGTGGAAATTTACGGAAACTACAGAGGAAGCTTTTATACATATATTGTGAGAAAATTGTCAAAGCCTTTGATAAATAACACTGCCCGATTTAAGGATATGCTAAGTTTTAGCAATGACTTAGGCGATTTAGCAAACGTTTATTAAGACTGTTAAATTAATACTTTTTAACATGAGAAGTACTTAAGTAATTTTAGTTTGTTTGGTTGATTCCAAATTTTTATTACTTACAATGTATATTTATATTTTTTAATTTTTGAATAAACTGATAAAATTAACAGTGTAACCCTCAAATATAATTTATTTGACATATTCAATGTTTTTTCCTACCTGCATTCCATTACGCAATACCCTTAGATTGACCGAAACTTAAATATCTGTGATTTAATTGCACGTCTATATTTTTTAAAATAATATATACATGTGTTGCACCAAACCCAGATGCCCCAACACAATTTATAAAAGTTCATACGAAATCTAGACCTTACTGATCCAGTTACCCCATCTTTAAGGGGCAACTGGGCCCACATGACATTAAAAAATATATATTTTTTTGCTTATAAAATTATAAACTATGGTAACTATTTATATGCAAAATTTTAAAGTAAATATTATTTCTTACAACTAAAATTATTTAAACTTTTTATTTCAACGGAATGTGTTATTTTTGTAGGTAATACGTCAAACGTCACTCGCCTACGTTGTAAAATCATGGCCCATTTACCACACCTTACCTTACCCTGTTTTTAATACTCATATTTAACATGTCTTGTTGGTGTAGAGCCTAGCTCCTTTGTCTTTGAACCTGATGGTCGTGAGTTCAATCCTCGCCAGTTATTATTTGTTTTTTTTAATTGAATTTTTTGTTTGTAAAATGAAATAAAACTTAAAATAGTGTATAAGCCATTAATTTGTGATTTGAGTATTCTAAGTAAGTTATTTTTAAGATGTACTTGCTAACAAATATTTTTTATGCGTATCATAAAATTTAAAATTAATCCTACAGTCAGTGGGCAACACAATATACACATAACATTTCGTTTGTTAGTCAAGTTAGCCGTGTCTGTCAAATTAACATAGTAAGATTTGAATTCGGCAAAATAAAACTATATACTTATAATATTGTGTGATCGTAGAAAAAATCATGTATGTAATTCGAGCGGCGGAAAGCTATTTGCCGCTTACGATGAAATGCCACACTCCGCTGTGCGTCACGTGGCAACTTTTTATCTTAAACGAAAAAGTAGCACTTTCCGCTCTTAATACACAAATAGCTATTTTGTATTAAGAGCGGAAAGTGAAATTGTCGATTGAGACAGAACGTAGTTTGCGCGATGCTTAGCGGAGCACGGGCAATCTGTTGAAAGAAATTGGTATATTTCAAAAAAGAATTAAAAAAAATTAAAATTGAAGTTAATAGATAAAAAAGTTAAATAAATAATAAAACAAAAACTTTTAGCTTATTTAATTTTTAAAACATTTAACGAGTTGATAACTACACAAATGAAAATTAAGTTGACATCAATTTATCCTAAATATCTAATCACTTTTCATTATTCACTCTTCTATCATGTACAAACACTAGATACGTAACACATACCCTGTACCATAAAATGTTTTGTTCCATCATTTCAAAAATATTTAATCCATAGTGAACATAGATGAGTAGCCTAAAAATTAATGGAAGGTCTGAAAACATTTTGTTAATAAAATTGTTAAATAAAATATGTTCATTAAATTTTAATAAAAAAAATACTGTTATAAATATGTAATAATAAGGAGTATTTATTTAAAACAAATAATAACACAGCATATCGCAAACAGAATCGTTTTTGTTTTCATTAGTTGGTAATTACTACGGTTCGTAGACGGAAATTAACATTAAATGCTAATAGTAAAATTTTAAAATATTATTTTACCATTATTAAATTAATTGCAGCTC